AGTACATTCAGGACTGCAGAAAAGGTCACTGGTGTGAGCCTGCCCTCCATGGACGACCTGTACACCGCACGGGTCAAAAGGAGGGCAGAGAGGATCACTGCAGACCCCTCACACCCCGGATACAATCTGTTTGAACTCCTCCCCTCTGGATGGTGTTACAGGTCACTATACACCAAGACAACCAGGCACAGTGAAAGTTTCTTCCCTCAGGCTATCACACTGATGAACACTTAACCCACGACAGTATGATTAGACAATAACCCTCAGTGCAATACCTGTAAATATAAACATTGTACAGATTATACAGACTCGTACAGGTCTCTAGTTTTAAGTACTCTGTTTTTATTCCTATTTACCTCATTTCAATGAACATTCCTTTGTTGTCTGCATTGTTTACTGTCTGTTTATACTGCTTATTTCACATTGTTTGCACTGTTTGTTGCTGTCAATGTTGCTGTTAATACTGCTTATTTTGTTATATTACACAGCCTTATGCTGGTTTACTGTTTGCACATTGAGAGCCTATGTACCAGAGTCAAATTCCTCGTGTGTTTGTCACACCTGGCCAATAAAGCTAATTCTGATTCTGATTTCAAAACCTGAGTGCAGCTGATGTTAGTGGATCCATGTGTTCGAGGATCTTTTGTTTTCTACAGGAAGCGAGTGGTCAAAACCAGCAACTCAGTTTCTAAGCCACTTACAGTTAACATTGGGGCTCCACAAGGCGACTGTGTCAAACTATTGTTTTATTGCTGGTTTTTCCAGGGTCGCCAACCCTACCTTTAAACCAGACCCCCATCATAAACCACGAATCTAAACAGAGCCATGAAGCAGTTTCATAAGTGTGCAGTCACTACAAGTGGATGTTGTTCTGCAGGACTGGAGCACACTACGTTGTAGTGAATGTTTTACTGAATTGTATTCAATATCAACATATTTGTGACTTGTTAAAAAAATTAATTTACATTTCCTCACTCTGGTCATAGAAAAGCAACCCACACATAGAATGATAGTTTAAGGTGAAGACTTCACGCTGTTCATGACCTAGAAAATCTGTTGCAACTTTTCAGTGCAGAAAAAGTTTGCCTCTAAGTTTAGAGTGAAAGTGGGTCGACCATGAAGCCTCGTCATGCAGTCTGGTCTGTGTGGTTTACAGAGCGGGATCAAAGACACTAGAGACAGAGGAAAAGATGTACACAAAGCAAGAAAAATGGTGACATCATCAGAGGAAGGAGTCTGATGCTGATCAGGATAAAAAGCAGAGGTGTAAGCAACATCCACCAAACCACCAGACACCAGCAGCAGACACAAGACACACAGTTGAGACGATCACTGTTTGACCTGCTGCAAAACCAGAGGAGCCTTCAAACTGTGCCGGAGAAGATCTGCACACAGCCCGGAGCTGAAGAAGAACCCAGAAGGACAACAAGGACATCAGGTCTAAAACTCGAGGGAGCTCAGACTGTCGGCATGTTTCCAGCATCAAACTCCTTCAAAGTGACGGTAAGAACTCAGACTCCTGTGTCAGTCCAGACAGAGAGCGACGGTGCAGGTCGGGCTGAAATCTGAGGCCTGAACAGCCGCAGTCTCAGCGTTACCATGATTAACACAGAGGGGACACGGCTACACCAGCAAAAAGAAAACAAACATACATGAAGTAACAAACTGTGAGAGTGATCATTAAAACTCAGCTCATTATGAAACGATAGACCATAACTATGATGTTTAATACTGTGGGGCTACATGGGGCCTGTGATTGGCTGAAACATGACAGAAATACTTTTCAAAAGATCTTTGTTAAAATACTTTTAAGTGATAAAATAAAAATTAACTCCACTAAAACCCAGGATGATTCAATATAATTTCACAATAAATGAAAGTTAAATGAGTTCAGAATTTACTGGTTCATTTATGATTTTCTATTTTATGTTACATTACATTAATTTGGCTTTTGTGGGTGGAAACTGGAACTAAAATAGTGTTACTACATTGGTTTCTTTAAATTTATGCAACAAACTCTTTATTCATACTGTATATTTATCTTTTTTTAAATTATTTTCTTTACGAATATTTATTTCATACTGACCACTTTGGGATTCCTTGTTTTGCTGCTCATTTAAGGTGCTGTATTACTTTTCTTTTACATTAATTTCACACTTAGCACGATAAGGAGCATTTTACAACTTTGGATTGCAGTAAGTATTATTTTAGCATTATAGTTAAATACAGTGCTAAACATCTGACTGACAAAATATACAAAGGTTGGTTCGCAAATGAATAAAAATATTTAAATTAGATAATGCAAACAATAAAATAAAAAACATTATTAACAGCATGATCATTTTTTCTTGAAGAAATCATTTAATTCACATGTCCAGACACCAGATGTGCCTTCATGTGAACCAATCACATGTAAAGCTGTTTAATCATTTTCCGTGTGATTTCGTATACTTCCTGTGTGTTTACGGAAATTTGTTACGTGTCAAATCTTAGGTCATATGCACTGTAATAAACGTAAAATGTGCTTTACATGTGATAAATCGGCCTATCGGTCTTCTTGAGGCTTCATCTGTCACATTTTAGTGATCATTTTAGTGACAGTACTGATTCTTCTGGTAAAAATCACGATGTGTGACAGTTCAATGCAGCGAAAAACAGATAAAAATAAAAGAACAAACACTGTGTGTGATGGCTGACTTCTCCTCCTCTTCCTCAGGCTGCCTGCACTGTGGCGATGATAATGATGATGATGATGATGGTGATGACAACAGACGCAGCAGCCATGCCCAAAGGAGCCCACCATCTGAAGCACTTAAACAAGAAGTCCTCTGACAGTACAGCTGTAGAAATGGTCGCCTTGCAGCTTGACCCCAACTCCTTTGTTACTACCACAACCATCAAACCGCTGGCAAACGTCTCCATCTCCCCGTGGACATACAAGTATGAACACATGCACATCTCTCCTGAAGCGACAGTAAAATCAGTCATATCATTTAATCAGAGGGTGAAAGATAAAGCGAGGTTTTTGTCCCTTCTCTCTCTCTCCATCCTCAGCATCTCCCACGATGAGTCTGTGTTCCCTCCAGTGTCGGAGGCTCGTTGTTTACTGCAGGGCTGCCTGGACGCCCATGGTCAGGAGGATCTGAACCTGCAGTCCAGACCAATAATGCAACAGGTCCTGATGTTGCGCCAGGTCAAGCCAGCAGGGGAGAAGCACAGCTACCACTACAGGTTGGAGACCCGCCTGGTGGCAGTGGGCTGCACCTGCGTCCGACCCATTGTTCAGCGCCAGCAGTGATCAGCCCGACACCAGCAGAGGCTTCGGCGCAGAGATGAATACTGTCAGAACCTAACATTCACATTTAGAAAGGATCAGAAATTAAATCAGAATCAAAACTTTGAAGTAAGGAGGCCAAATCAAGACTTATATTTATTAGGATATCTTCTGTTCTAGCTTCTTAATTTGGAATTTGTGTTTGAAAACTGTCATAATACGTGTAAAAACAGGTTAAATATAAAATTGTGACTAGAGTCAATGATTATTTGTTATGTGTAGGCTGGATCATGAGCAGCACATAATGAAAACATGTCCCTGTAATGACTTTGAATCCAAAATGAATTTTGATGAGCTAGTGATTGTCAGACCAACTTCATCCAGCAAGTCCTCCAGCTGGTGCTTATCAAACCAACTTCACCCTGATTCTTGAGTTCAGGACCTGCAGTTTTACAGACTACTGTTTTTCAAAGTATTGATGATGAAAGTCTTTCTCTGCTCAGTGAGTTTAAGTAATTGTATTGCCCATATGCTGCTCTGTCATCTTCTGAATGTTGAATCACTGTTATTTTATTATTATTATTGGTAGTTTACAATTTTCGTTCAGCTCATCTGGAGAAACTACTCAACTCACAGTGGAGCCTCACAGCTAAAGCAGGCAGATAATTACTGGATGCATTTCATATATTCTGTTATTTAAATTAATTTAAATACGTTTTATTTAATGTTATGGTTCTAATTTTAAGTGAGTATTTATTGATGGTTGTTTTAATGTTACTGTATTTATATTTCAGAGAATAGGGTAGAGGCTCAATGAAAGAACAAAGAAATAAAGTATCATTGTTTTATTCTTCAATTTAAAATATAACGTGATTTCTTTACATTATCTTCACCATCATCATCATCACACTCTGACTCACTTACACTGACGTTGCCAGGGAAACAGACCAAAAGCTGTAAACGCTGTACACAGTCGATTATTTATCAGCAAAATGCATTCATTCATATCAGCTGGGTGGGGGTGGGGGGTACTAATGATTACTGGACAGGTGAGTAACCTGTGATGTAGCCACAAGAGCTAACTAGCTGACGCTGATGTCAGTAGCAGTCGTGCCTCGTCTTCTCACCCAGTTTACACAGCTTTAGATGGCAGCATTCATGCTAGCATGCTCGTTTTAGTGCATGGCCTTAATGTTCTGAAATGTGAGACAAATCCTGATGTAGAAACTGAAAATTAAAATCTGGGGACTGCGAAAACAGGCCTGCAGTACTCAAGTCTAATCTTGAGGGGTATTTTAATTACATGTCTCAATCTTGTGCATTTAGACTCAGACTCTTCTCAGTGTTGTGGAACTGTCTCAGTCTCTTGGACATTTTGACTCATACTCGTTTTAGTGTTTTAATTTGAACATGTCTAAGTATTATTTATGTTTTGACCCAGACTTGTCTCAGGGTGGTGGATCAGCCAGCTTTGCTGATATTATAACTTGGACTTGTCTTGTGAGCAGTTTATCTCAGCTGAGTGATTCGGACTCAGTGGGTTTTTGTGACAAACCCATCTTGGTCTCAGCTACTAATGCTGCCTGTTACAGTCTCTGGTCTTGACCAAATGTCCACTTGATTTTTTATTTATTTGCCTTTACCGGTCTTGACTTGATCTCTCTGCTCACTTTAGCTCAGATTCGACTTGGGTGCTCTGGCTACAGCCCAGTGAGAAGCGTTTGGTTTTGTATTTGCCATCACTGCCACTAGTCACTAAAGAACTGCACTTCACTGATCAAACGTTTCTTGTTGTCATGTCATCTCACAGTAAATGGACACTGTCCAGCAGGAGTGATTGTGTAACTCAGATTAGCTGTGTGTCCAGTTAGCAGAGACGCCTCCACATTTACCCCCCTGGCAGGTGGAGGCAGTCCGGTCTTTTGTGGGCCTGAGTTGTGCACGTTTGAGTCTGATGTCTGTTGGTCTGTTTGGTTGTGTCAGGAACAACTCTGTAGTCTTGTGAAGATGTTGAATCCTTGATACACAATCGCACACACAAATGCATTGGCACTGCTGGTATGGAAACAAAGCACAGTAAAACCCCTGTGAATCATCTAATGATGAGTGCAGCGTCCCTTAGTTTCACCAGTTCTTCTCGTTATAAAGAGTCTTTCTTGTTATAAAGAGTCCTGGTTGTTCAGAGGAGGTCGTGCCATCAAACTCGCTTTCAGCGCTCCACTTCCTCCTCCTCTTTCTCATCTTCTGATCTCACTGTTTTCAGTCGCTTCCTGTCAGTCACCCAGTCGAACCAGCGCCGGGATCCAGACGCATCAATCCTCAGCTCATCAGCCCTCCAAAATGGCATCCAAAAGAAGTTCAGCTTGTGTTGTGATCAGGCCATCAAGACACCTGCGAGTAGAGGACAGGGCATGAAGTTGGCACAGGGATTCCCAGACATGGATATGTTCTGTTAATTTCAAAATTAGATTTAAATGTGGTGTATGAAAAAGAATAAATGTCTCAAGTAAATAACTGTATGAATCAGAAACAGCCTGGCTGTGTCCAGAGCTCCAACACACACCACCAACACCTCCAGAGTGTAAAACATTAACTGACATAGTTTACAACCGGTTTAATACAAATTAAACAAGATGTGTTAATTAGTGAGTTGTAGAGGTGCTGGTAGGTGTGCTTTTCAACTGTGGACTAAGCCAACCCCTCTTGTGTGTCCAGTCTTTATGCTAAGCTAACCAGGTCTTGGATACAGACATGAGACTGATCACCATCCCATTAAACTTTCAACTGACAAGAAAACGAGTGGGTGTATTTCCCAAATGCCAAGCTATCAAATTAAGAGTGCTGTTAGATTTAACATCACTTAGGTAATCCCACATATTTGTTACTGCACTACTTCATATTTTGTCTCACTATGTCTACCAAGAATCCCCTCCTCCAGTTCGTCCTACCTCCACACTGTGCTTGTCCTGAAAGACACAAAAACACAAACTCCTATCAGTAACTAGTTTCTGTGAAACAGAGTCTGAATGATCTGACAGAATCTGAAACAGTGAACTGTGCGTCCTCACCTCCTCCTGCAGCTGTTCCTGTGAGGTGTTCAGGTGCATCTGCCGCTGCTCCCTGTTGGCGTCGGCACGGTGCTCCTGACGCTCTTTGGTCAAAGCTTTCTGAGCGACTTCACGCTCATGCTCCCTCCTCTCGGCCAAGTGTTTCAGCAGCTCCGCCTCCTGCCACTAGAGGGAGACATAGGGAGAATTCACAGTGAATTTCTACCTGTGTTTTTATTCCAACAGAAACTCCGTCAGAGACCCAGATTCTAGAAAACAGAAGCCATTTAATTTTTGTCTCTTCTGTGTCACTAAGTGTCTGGTGAGCATAAACAGTAGTTTCATGGTTATCTTAATTTCTGTATCATTTCTGAACTTACCACTTCATGATACTGCACTAAAGCAAAACAGTGTTTGGTTGATGGGAATGCTAATCAAAATTCAAAGACCATGTACAATCAACAGACAGTAAATGTGGCTAAAAGAGGGTGTGGTCCTTATTTTCTTTAACTTTTAAAAGTTCTCAGTCAATAATTTTTCAAAATAAATTGTGGCATTCCTCATGGATCAATTTTAGGGCCACTACTTTTTAATTTTTGGTTGTTCTGAAACTTTGGACCAGACTGAATTTCCTCAACAACAATTGGGTGGCTTGTGCTGAGATTTTGTATAGACATTTACGTTAGGATGAAAACTTCAGACTTTGCTGATTCCCTGACTTAACCTTAAAATCATGGGGCTGGCATGTGGCCTAGTAATGACAGTCTACACTCTGTTGCCTGTTTTTACTTTATATCCAGCCCCAGCACATCCTCACATACCTTCCTCCTCTCCTGAGCGGCATCCAATTTCTTCTGGATTTCCTCCAGTGATGGTTTCTGGCGAGGCGGTGTGGTGGCCCTCAGTTCAGGGCTGCCATCGAAGGTGGGCGGCTTCAGGATGACCTCAAAGGCCTGGCCACTCGCCCGCTTGCTCAGCTCGATCACCTCCATGTCCCTGATGTTGCACAGGTTCAAATCCACTATGCCAGCTGCAAGAAGAGCACAACACCATGAAATGATCACAAACTGACAACAATTTCTTCTGCAGCAGCCTGTGATTATAATTATTGATTTTTATGACTTTGGTGCTCCAGCTTTCTCTCACATGCAGTCCAAAGACATGCAGGACAGGTGAACCATAAATTGACTGTTAATCTGTGGGTAATAAAGGTAAGGCCTGAGACAGTCTGGTGATCAGCTTAGGTTTTAATGCTTCTGAACAAATACATGCTGGGATAGGCTCACTAAATTCGAACATAAATGAATCATTTTAAACATGGAAAATAAGCCATTTAACAACTTCAGGACATGGATGAAGTTGTAACTCCTGGCTCAAGGTTTCAGACTGTTTTAGCTAAAGGTGTTAGTAAAGAACTTTTGACTTGCTATTGGTGCTAGTTGTCAAAGCAATGAATAATAAAAATCATACATTTCATCAGTTAGTATGCAAATGTTTTAAAAGCCAAAAGGTTAATAAAATGCATAAAACAAACTAGGTTAAATAAAATTATTTATACTGGAGATGTAATTATTTTAGAGGCAAGCAACATTTCAGACATTGTGTATAATAAGATAACTCTCAAACAACTGGTGAAGACTGTGAAATACAGCCAAAAGTTCCAGAAAGAGTGAACTTGTGGGCCATGAGGTCAGACTGTTTTTCTGTTAGTTTTAGAATAGAATAGAATAGAAGTTCTGCTGACCTTCCTCCTTGTCGGCTGTAGTGTCTCTGGGTTGAGGAAGGATGCAGGAGCAGAAAAGAGACACCAGGGGGAGCTCTCGCATCTTCTCTCTGTACGCTGGAACAACCCGAGAAGGAGAGAAAAACATATCTATATTAAATACAGGTTCACAACATCAACAGCAATAATAATAATAATCAGTCAGGAAAGGAAGTTGTACCTGCTAGAGTCATTCTGCTGCTGCTGCTGTTTGTTTCAAAGACACTGTGGTGAGGTAGAGGCTGTTCCTGAGGACAGAGACAGGTGAGTCAAAGTTAAGTAAATCCAGTAGAATCAATGACTTTGCCCTGGGTACTCCCTGTTTAAAAAAGTGAGGAAACAAAACAAGAGGGAAAACATGACTGTTCAGAAACAAAAAGTGGAAGAACGAGGAGAATCACAGAAACTGGGTTTTCTTTGTGCTCTTCATCCAAGTTAAAGAGATTCCAAACGACATCATAACCTTCTGGTTATTTGGTTCTAAATATGTTTTGGAATTTGTTTAACAGATAGACACCGGTTAAAAATATTCCATTTTATCTCTAATGCATATATCTGTAATGATTTAATGTAGCATCTGGTCAGTTTTTTCCTGTTTTATTTGCAGCTCCCTCATAAATCACAGGACCGCAGTTTGCACTTTACAGTTTAAGTGAAGGATTTTGTGCTTATGCACAACATGGGTTTCCTCTAAAGGCTCAAAGACTAATATCCCAGTTTCTGTAGAAAACTGAACATTTAAATTCAAAATGTCCAATTTTGCTCATGAGACAAAATGTACCAGCTTGTTTGTGCTTTTTTAAGAGATGATGACTCACATGCACAAATCTGAGTGTTAGCTGTTACCAGCTCAGTGACCTCGAGAGATTAAAATAATTTATCCCGAGTGTGAATCAGCAGCGAGCGCAGAGACACGACCGGCTGCAGGAGTTTGGGCTCAGCAGTTTATCAACACTCAGACTCAGTCAGAAAGAAATCCAACACTGAACACAAAATAAGTCTGACTTTAAACAGCAGAAGCAGCTTTTCCCCTCAGGTTCATCATGAATCTTGAGTTTGCAAACTCACATAGTGAAAAATAAGACAAAATCTGTTCATGAACAAGCACAAGAGCTGCAGCTTAGGGTGGTTTTCAAGCACTTTTTCCATCAACGGTTTGATCTTTGCAATATCCAAAATATAAAGGCAAATATTTGCATTTCCCCAAAAACAGTTTTTTCAGTCTGAAGGTCTGAAGGAAGGTGAAAGCAGAAAATTTCACCAGATAGCACATGATTTTTCTGCAGAATAAGGCTTAAAAACACAAGTCTGCTGCCAAACGCGTAATATTTTTTTAAAACTCTCTTGCTCTCCCTCCCTCTCCCTTACTCTCTCTCCTTGTGTGTGTGTATATGTGTGTGTGTGTTTGTGTGTGTGTGTGGGTAAGCAAGGACTAAGCAATGATGTCATGGTTGCCAGAAGGCGCACCACATTCTGCAGAGACCACTGAACTACTCAGAAAGACAAAGGAAAAGATGCACAAAACGATGCAGCAGAAACAACAACAAAAAGTCAGACAGAAACTGCAGACAGACAAATAAATGAAGAAGAAAACAACCAGATGAGTGAAAGCTGCTTTCTGTTCACGTTTGCTTTGTGTTCCCAAACGAGGTTGCAGCATCTGAGCTGCACAGTTGCAACGAGGTTGCAGCATCTGAGCTGCACACAGGCAGAAAGCTAAAGGCCAACATGAAGCAAAAACAAAGAAAAAGTGTGTGAACATGTGTGTGCAGTGTGAACTCACCCTGCAGTGATGCTCGGTCTCTGTTGGCTTCGTTCAGAGTGAAGATCTGCAGCTCAGCAGCATCAGCACCAAACAGCAACCTGGTGCATGACATCACCCAGCTGCGATCCGATTGGCTGGCTGGGATACTGAGCTGTGATTGGTCCAGTGGGCAGAGGGAGGAGGAGGCAGAGTGGGAGGAGGTGTGGGTTCAGAGCAACCAAGGTTTATATCAGAGGAATCCTCCCGATCACAGACAGAAGACTTCATCAGAATCAGACTCTGGTTTTCACTGCAGCTCAGTTTTCAGCTGATCAATAACATCAGACTGATGACATTATGGCTAACAAAGGCACTGAGGCCTGTGCAAAGCAGAGAAAGCAGAGTCAACATCCTTTGAAAATAAAGCAACCTTTACAGGATCAGTATGTTGTAATGATCTTACAGCAAAGCAGATGCCTTCCTGCTGTATACTACCACCAACATCTCTGACTGACTGAACTGCAGGGCAGATAATGATGCTGTCAAAAGATAGAACCTGGTTCTTCATACATGGAAAATATTCAGAGGATATGTTTATGCATTCGACTGGAGTTTAAATCCGGGTTCTTCAAACCCGGTTTGAAACTCATCTGTAAATCCCAGCCTGCCGACTGCAGCTTACAGGGCCAGGGGTTTCTGGGTGAACGTCAAACATGAACTCATTTTTGGATACAATGGCTCCTTTTCTAAAACTTATACTGAAAGAATGTCGAGATCATTATGAATTTAGATTAGAACATGCAGTTTGCTGAGAAATCATCATGATCTGAGAACAGTTTAATAACAGTCTGACACAGAACAAGGCATTTTATCACTGAACAGACATCCAATTGATGGCCACGCACCAACATCACTAATACTATCTAAAAGAACAGTGATCAAAGTGTGGACATGCCGAGGAGCACGGTGCAGAACAAAATAACACACATCACATGAGACCTAACAGACCGAGTCAGCCTGGCCCAACAGCGCGGGGATGAACCCTCGTTCATCAAGTCAGAAAACTGGACAACAGCTGATACTGTGCCTCTGTCCCTCAGCCCAGGTGTCTTTCTCCAGGCACCTGCCTCCTGCCTGAAACTTTCCATTGCAGCGGTTCTCCACCTGTCCACCACACGCTCTTGAACTTTCCCACCAGTTTTAACCACACTGGTCTTCAGTTTATTTTAGATAGTCAGTCTCATGCTTGACCAGACCATGTTGTATGTTTTCGTTCTGCACCTGTGTTTTGGGTTTACTTCCTGTCTTGCCTTTTGGATTTGTTTACCTTGTGTCTGCATGTGGGTCTCCACCCTGCACTCTCTGCCCAGACACATGTGAATTCTTAGAAAACAGTCATGTGCGAGGACGAACTACACACAGACTGTCTGGGTATAAAGTAAAAAGATAAACTTTTGAAACATAAAGATAAAACATGATGAGAACTGGATCCGCTCTGATCCGGTTTGATCTGGTTTGTTGGTCGATGTGCTTCTGAGGAAATGTCAGCGCTAATTTTAAAGGCTGACAATGAACTGTTACTCATCACACACACACAGGTCTGTGTGTTTGTGTGTTAACGCCTCCGCCACGCTCGCCTGTCTCTCGCTTCTCATTCAAGCATGAGAAACCACTCACAGCTCCACACAGGCTGCACCCTCCTCCTCATGTATCGTGTTAATAAGAAAAATTATTGCAAAGCTGTTTGGGGGAATTTCAGCAGTTTGTAAAACTAAATGTGCAAACTGAATGTAGTGCAGCTCAGAATGTAGTACTGTAAATGTGTGTCTGTCGTGGTGTGGAGGTGGAGGGGGCAGATGGGAGTGTGGTGCTTTTGGCTGTCATGCAGAGTTTGTGCTACAGGTGGTTCAAGCCAATATTTAATGCACCCTTAAACTCAACCATAACACACAGATACTGCAGGAAGAACTCAGTCATGGATGCAACCTGAGGTTCTGTCCATTCAGTCTAGTGGTGGGACTGAAGAAAGTCAGCGCTAAGTCCGACAGGTCAGAGTTTTCAGGCAGTCTCCGGGTCACAGGCATGACTTGGATGTTGACATAAGCAGAAACTGGTAACTACAGTAACTCTGATGGGAGTCCCAGCGGAGCACACCTCATATAGATATTAGACTGTTCTGTCCCAGTGTCTACAGAAAAAAGGTTTTAGCTGCTGCATCTCACAGTTTTTGACACCAAAAGCTAAGTGCACCTTCTTTCACTTGACTCGACCCAGTTTCAGTCAAATCAGGGCAAAGTTTGAGGTATCCTGCTAAGAGACAAACACACAGGAGCATAAACATAATGTTCTTAGTGAGGATTACATTTGTCCCATGATGAGCAGCACCTGGAGGAGACGGCAGGGAGGCGCTCGGTCAGCTGCAGGGTCTCAGTGGCCATTCTCTGTTTGGAAGTGTGTGTGTGTAGATGCTGAGATATGTAATGCTTGTAGTTTCTATCTAAGTGAATGGGTTTGTATGTAATTTGTTTGGTTGTTTTATCTCAGGCTGGTGTCTGCATGCTCTTACATTTAATGTTGTCTCCTGTGATTTAATGCTTTTATGCTGCAATTCCCTTAATGTGAGTTTTCTGCTATAGAAGACAATAAAAACCACCTTAACCTCTGAGTGTCCACCATCAACCCTGAACAGCTCTGTGTGAAGAGAACTACAGCTCCCATCATGCACCAGGAGCAGAACACAGCGTTCTCACACACTGTTCCTCCTGTTTCCCTCCCAGTGAACCAGATGATGTAATGCAGCTGCAGTGAGTGTGTGTCTGTGTCTGTCCTTGTATCTCTGTGAGGACCAGGTTCAGGTTCACACCTTCAAATATGTTGGATATTGAGCAGCGGTTTGATGGTTTAGAGTTGATTGTAGGCATGTGAGGCATTTATGCACGTTACTGCAGTGCTTCGAGTGTGTGTGTGTGTGTGTGTGTGTGTGTGTGTGTGGGTGTGGAGGTGGCAAGGTGAGAGGCTGCAGCAGAGCAGGAGAAACCCCCACATCCCAACTGATGATGTCACCAGCAGCCAATCAGAGACACACTGTCAGTGTGTGTGTGTGTGTGTGTGTGTGTGTGTGTGTGTGTGTGTTTGTACAGACAGGTGACAGCATCATCATCATCATCATGGTCATTCTCGGTGGATGGGAGCTCTGTCACCCTGGACGAGAGCGCTCAGTTATTCAGGGTTTTCCTTTCATGTGTCCCCATCTGTAGCTTTAAAGTCAAATTCAGCAGACTCAACAACATATGCATCGTTGTCCTGACGCTCTGTTGCTACAGGACACAGCTGTTTGCAGCACAATAATACAGGGCAGAGATGCGGTATAAACACAGGGGGCTGGGCTGCTGGTTCTGCAGCTGCTTTCAAGGACAAACAGCAGCAGACCGACTGGAAGCAATGACATCATCTCTGAGTATGGGCAGTGATGTCACCGACAACAAGGTCCCTGAGCTCAACACAGGGTGATGTCATCATTATGTGACAGAGAGAGCTGATTTCAGAGGCTGAGGTGATACTGAGGTGTGTGATGTGACTGAAAAAAGATTATGCTTATTTGTTAAAATGTTTTAAATCTTGTTATATGAGCAGCACAGAAAATGAGTGACATCCTGATTTTTCTGTCCTCGTCAAGTCTGTTTTATTCAGTGAGAGAACAATCTTAGGAACATTCCCTCATGTTACCCTACATGAAATCATGCCACTGAGTTTCACACACTGGGGTTTACAGATATGTAAAGATGCATTAATTCAGATTCTCCACAGTGACAGTGGGACAGGACATGGTGTCTCCCAGCTACACCCCCCCTCCATGACCCTCTGCTGCCTACAGCCCTCCTGTTGTTCTTCCAGCTTCTCCACCCTGTGTTGTCAAAGTACGGTCTGTAAATCAGCCCCGCCTGCCACCTAGCCAAAGTTAGAAGAAGGGTTTTTCCTGCTGCCAGTAGTCATGTCAAACAGCCATGGAGCAGCTCTGGGCAGCTAAAAGTCTGAACCAGCGGCTGCCAGAGTAAAGAGGTGATGTCTTTTGTACTGAGACAGTGGGACAAAGAAAGAGCAACAACCAGGGTTAACATGGGTTTGGCTGTTTGACATGGAGAGGGTTAAAAGCAGCCAGAGGACTCAGACTGGATTCAGATGTGGCGTTCTTCATTCTGGATGTGTTAGCATCTAAATGGCTGTGCAAATTCTCAGTCACCCAGGTCACAGTGTGCTGAAAAAACTTAGAGGAAGGCATCTTTATGGCAGAGTCAGCAACCGTTTACCTTCACGCTGCTCTGGTGTCATTACTGTCTTGCATTTTGTCCTTACAAACATAATGTTACTAGCTCATTTTACTGAGAGGTCAGTAGGACTGGAACTGGTGAAACTGACAGTGAATTTCAAGAACATCCTGTCATGGTTTAGCTTCCAGGTTGGAGAGCTTTATTTTGTCAGACTTCCTGCCCTGTGTCTCTTCACCTGCCCCAGCTTTACCCCAGTTCTCAGTCACTGTTCATGGTTTGCACCTGTTGCTCATCATCTCCCAGTCTACAGCCCATAAATACCTCCTCCTTTCCCTTGCTGGTCCATTAACGTATTGACAATGCTGCTCATTCTGTTTCATGAGGCTCACCACACCCTGCTAGTTGTTGTGATCCTCGGCACTACTGACTTTGTGTTGTGCACCAGTGACGCTGCCACCTCTCAGCCTTAACCTCCTGCTGGTGAATTCCTGACTCCTTGCCTGTCTGTCACTTTCGGCTGTTCCCACTGGGGGTCATCACAGCAGATTGCCACACTGATGATTTGCATGTTGAAATTTGGCATGTGTTTTACACCACATGCCCTTTCTGATGCAACCCTGAATTGAACCTGGGCCGCAGCGGGGATAGTGCTGAATTATAGCCACTAGTCCATCAAGGACCCCTCCGGACTCCTTGCCTGTAATCTCCTGTATCCCCAGTGATGTAGGCGTGTCTCCTGTGCACATCTGGCTGTGTGTTCCTGTTCGGCCAGCAACGCTGTTACCCACCTGTCTCGTCACCTCACCTGTGTTCCTCGTTCCTGTGAGTCTCCTTCGGTCCTGTGTTTGCCACTCACCTGTTCCTCGCTGCTCCTGAACCAACAGTTGCCCTGCTTGCCTGCCTTGTTCCCCAGCTCTACTCAACCAGCCTGCCTACCACCTTTGGAAGGTCCTGCCTGACTCACGGAAGCACTCCTGGCACCACAGCTACACTTTTGTTCTCTTGTCAGTTTAATAAAGACTTTCTAAGTTTCTGCCGAGTCCTGGTCCACATTTTGGATCCTAATACATCCTCTGCTGGACCGCAAAGCAAATGACAAACGGCCTACTGCGCTTATTGACACACATTGTCCTATTCAAACATGTCATTACAAGTCGAATTGGTTTTCTTTTACCATGTTTGAAAGGTGAGTGAGAAGCTGACAGCCCTAGAGGACGCCTGTCTTGACCACTAGCAAAGAGCTTTTCTACTTCAGCACAACAGCCTCAGGTCTGAAGGTGTGCAAGTATGTCAGCGTGAACAGGCTGTTTCATCACTGCAGTAAAACTTCCCTGATTAGAGAAAACTGCTAAATTTATCAACGACAAGCTGCAGAGACAAATCTGTCTGGAAAGATTCCTGTAATCCACCAGCTCAAACCAGTTTACCAGTGTGTCTGTCCTCCTCAGCTCTGGTATGAATGAGCAGCCTGACTGTCAGCCAGCAGGCGTGTGTGTTGGCGAGGCGTCGTGACTCTCACCATTTGTTTCTGGTAGTGTTTGCAAGCCACTGAGGAGGGAAGGAAGGAGCGAGCTGCAGAGGAGAGAGAGGAACAGACAGCAGTGTGGGCTAAATGTCAGTGAAGGCGAATCACTGCTGCAGGCGGAGGCTTCCAGAAACTCATCCGAGATGGGTGACAGTCTTACAACCACCAGTGTTCCACACGTTTCTGCAGGAGTTAGCAGCCACCATTAGCATGAAGAACTTTGCACAGCCTGTCTACATCCACTATTTGCAATTTCAGATTGTGCATAGAAAGGCTTCTATTGGGAATGTCACTTTTTGCTCAAAATTCAGACTTCTGTTCATTCACGGTGAAAAATGAATTGTCACAACCTGCCCGTCAGGTTTCTCTTCAGCCCTGCCAAATGCAACGGACCTTTTGGGGTGTGATGGTGTTTACGGGTGCCAATGGTAAAAAAAAAAAATAATGCACAAAATACAAAGTTATCCATAAATTTCAAAAGTCCTGCAGCTGAGACCGATTAAAATCCACTAATGAACACATACAACGCTGTGATGCTCAGATACACTTGAACTTTTGTTTGCATGCTTTGTAAAACAGAGACCAAACGTAGGAGTAAAACAACCATCTTCAGAAAACCAGGTCTTTCTGGATGCGGCTTTGCGCAAAGGCAGGTCATAAACAGTATTTTATGAAGACAAGCTCAGCTTTTCTATCTCATCAGCAAAAGTCTCTTCTGCAGTATTTTCACACAGACTGAAAGAAGTGAGTGGCAAGTGACTCAGCCGCTCTTCAGTCCGACCACGCTGCCGGATTTCAGCGAGCGTGTAGGCGACAGAACGGAGTGCGTCGGCAGGGTGCTGGCAGATGGTCGACAGGCGGAGAGGCGGGACCCATTCACAGGCCTCGAACATGAATGGAGACAAAGGGAGGGCGGCTCAAACACAACGGCTTCTCTCTGGAGCTGCTGTCAGCACAGAGAAACCCGCTGATCGGCACCATCAGGACACAGCACACAGCCGCGGATGCTCCTGTGACTAAGTCATTAATAAAGTGAATGGGGGGGGTTCTTTCATTCACTTCACCTCCCCAACACACTTTTCTTAAACAGGTAATATTTTAACTGCTATTTTTCCTGCTTTGCTTGTCTCAAACGATGTTTCCATGGTCCAGGATCCACCTCACCTCTTAAGCCAAGACATCAACTTAAGCAGCTCTAATTCTTATTTATTCTATTAATTCTTCTTAATAACTGCATCTGCAGAGAAAGACCATGTGATAGTGCTGAAAGCCCCAGAACAACTACTAATGGACCTTGTGAGGCAGTTTTGTTACTGACACCTGTTAAATGTAGGGATGAATAAGATAAGTGCATGAAGTCTGTCAGGATTCCCCAGCTGTATAAAACAGTCATAATATTAACCATTAAATATGAACAAGAAGCAACAAATAGATTTATTAAATCAAAATAACCTATTTATTTATCTTCCACATATGAATTTTACAGTTTACATATAGAATTTAACATACACAGAATTTAACATCTGCAAGACTTTGGGATACTTTGAAGGCTTGTTTGTGGAAAGTCCAACCTGTTTTCACCTTCACACACACTAATTCCCACTACTGCAAACCCCCCACTGATCATGAGGATCAACTCAGGACACTTGCTTTGGAAGAAAACCTCCCTCCAGTAGAGTCAAGATGCACCAAAGCTGTTCTGGAGTCTCGTGGTTCGAACGTGGCACAAACATCAGTCAAAATTAAAACCTTTCAAACTAAAAGCTCACTTTTATTTAGCAGATCATAAATCCTTTCAGTGCCTTCACAAACAATAGTCAACAGTAATAAAAAACGCAAGAAAAGCAGGACAGAAGAATCTTTCCCGATGTAAAAATAGAACTCCTTCGTTTAGGGAATGAGCGACACTAAGGAGCAGCCAGTCAGCTTCACCGAGGGAGTGAGGTCACAGGGTCAGTGATGGAAATCCTCTGTACACATCTGTTCCAAGTAACAGTCTGCACCTCACAGGGAAATCTCTCTGTGGTTCTCTCACCGACATTATGTCACTGTCTGTCATCCCTGGCAGAGGGCAGAGGTCAGGGTCCCTCGGGCACTGCATGCTTCCTGTTTCGGACTTGAACCACTTCCTTCCTCTCCTTCATGAAGTTTTCAAAGGAGTCTGCCTCCTTGCTCTCCTCCGTTGCTGACAAATCAAAAACAAACGCTCAGCCTTGACTGGTATTCACCAGAGAGGGACTGTTTCAACTGTGGCCTGATTCTTACTAGACTGTAGAACGGTCCCTGCTATAGGCAGGTGATGTTCGCGCTCTCTGCAGCCACAGTACAGGCACGCCAAACGCCGTGCAGAGCTCTCAGGTTGATTATTTATCTCAATGCTGCCCTCTGCCTTTGGATCATGTGCATACCAACAGACTGTTTTCTCAGCTTCCTGATTCAATATAACTGTTTTTATAAAATGAAAATTCACTTCTGTTTCACTGTAATTTACACTTTATAGGAATTGTTTGTTTCTATCTGTCCCCGTACTATTTATACTGAAATCAATACTATACATTTATTTACCATTTATTAGATTCACATATCTTATTTAAAGGAGGAAAACCACAAAATATCTGAAATTCACGAGTCATTTTCTTCTCCACCATGAACTGACTTAGCTGCTGCCTAATTGAATTATAAATAGCTAAACTAAGCTGTCGTTTTAGGCGAGGTACAGCAAGCCTCCAGTCGATGTAGCCCTCTGATGTTAAACATAGTTGGCTTGTCTTTACAAGTGCGGCGATGAGTCCTACACCTCACAGAAAACCAACCCTGGGCACAGTAACTGCGGCCACAATGCAGTACAGCTACACAGACAAAGTATAGACACTATATTTGGGTTTTTAGCTGCACTTTGTGGTTACTGCAGTTTTCAGAAGCTGTTTACATGGAAGTAACACAGTACTGTGGTACAATATGTTCACACTGTAAAACACAGGCCAAAGTCTGATACACGTTCCAACTCTTTTTGAACAAAATATGTTGTTATATTTATATATGTGTGTTTTTACCGCTGTGGTCGATGTCGTCTGTGTCGCTGTCCACTTCCTCCTCCTCCTCCTCTTCGTCCAGGTTACCACGTGTCATGATGAGGTCACTAGGCCCAGCGATGTTGGCGTCCTCTGTGGACAGGAAGTCGATTAGTGTGTAACAATAAAATTAACAACACACTAGAATAATATTGAAGTGAACGGATCTTCATGAGCATTTTCTAATCCCTCTGACTAGAGAGACTCTGACCTGTATTGTACTGGTTCAAATACTGGTCTTGATAAGCAGAACAAGTATCAGTCAGAAGTTATTGAGCAGTGTCAGATAGAAATTCTCATTATTCAGCACCAGTTACATTCATCCAGGCACGATGGGCAGTTTACAGCTGCAACTACAACTCAGTTGACTATTTCCTCAATTAATCTATTAATCGTTTGGTTTATAAAAATCCATAAAATAGTGAAACATGCTTGTTTTAATTTCCAACAGCCCTTGGTGCTGTTTTTAAATAGCTTATTTATTTTGTCCCAAAACAATCAATATGCTGTCACATGTGACAAAAGCATCAAATCCTCAGACGCTGGATGTGAGCCCCCTGGTGGCCACACAGCACTAAGCAGCCACTGACTGTGCAACATGCAGAATATATCGTTATAACATCAAAATGTTCTTGACTTAAATTTCTTTGTAACGCTGGCAGCCACACGCTGTCATAGCATCACTTCATTTTAAGAGTCTGTACATTTCTAATCTCAGAGGAAGCTCTGTGAACAACTACACTACCTGTCGAAGGTGTGGTCGTCAAGTCGACGGCTCCCAGGTCCTTTCTGAGTCGCTCCAGCTGCTGCTGCTGCTTCTTGCTCTGAGCCTCTGCCTGATGAACAGCAAGTCAGTAAAAACATGGAGGTCCAGACAAGAAGGAAAGACAAACACACTCACCAGCTGTTTGCGGAGCCGTTCATATTCAGGCCGATAGTCCCTAAAGATGGAGGGGAGAGAGTTTAGTGAATCACACAGACACACACACAGCACAGCGATGAGCAGCAGCTCTGACCCTACCCACCCACCTCTCGTACTCCTGGGCGGCATCCTCCACCTGAACGAACAGCTCATCCAAACCACTTCCTGTCACTGCGGACACTCCCACCACCTGCCAGGAAAGATGTGTCTTTACTACTGGGTTCTACTGAGACGTGGAACCAGGATGACTCATTACACATGCTGATGTATTCACCTGTTGCCCTGACTCGACTGCGGTCAGAGTGAGCTCAGAGCACATACATCTTAAAATGTTAGCATTTACTGGGTACAGGGAAAAAACACGAGCCAATAAAGACAAATCTAGTCGGCTCAAATTTTGTCTGTGGTTGATCAGTGTTAATTTAGCTGATGACACGGTGCAGCTGTGGCCATTAACGTGTAATGATGTTGAGTGCAGCAGCACTCTACAAAAGCTTCAATGACAGATCATTTCCTACAGCTCAGTGCTACGTAACAGACCTTCTTATTTTTGCTCCACCCAGTCTTGTTTCTTAGGTACAGTAATGAAAGCTCTCAGTTCTAGCTCCTCTGCTGTTGGGAAGTTGTTGGTTTAAGTTTGTCTTTCTAGGAAACTCTGGTAGATTTCCACTCCTTATGGGCCTGTTGTTTGTGTGACATTCTGCTCCTGAGAGATGCTACACTAAAACAAAGTTCCTCACTTAGTGTGGACCCAGAGTGAGTTCATCCAAACATAGCTGGCTAACAGGTGAACCCACTCCTTGAAACAAGTCCCTGGTCTGCGCTGGTCCTCTCACCCTCAGGTTGGTGTAAAACTCATCCAGCACCAGACTCATGGAGCGTGTCAGGTTGCTCACATACGAGGTTTCCTGGTTCAGAGCATCCTGGAAAACCTCAAAGTCCTGCATCCACTCCACGGCGAAGCTGTGGTCAATGATGTCAGTCTGCACCAACAAGTTCAAATGTCAATACAAGATGAAACATAATACAACGATAACAACAAGTCACACAGCAGGCAGGAAGTAACCTCACCTTGTTCATGACGACGATGAAAGGCAGCTTGGTCTTGTAGAGAATGCTGAAGGAGAGAAACATCAGCTGAGAGGCTTAGCTTCACACATCTACATGTACAGCTCCTATAGAGCACGACACCTAGTTTAGCATCTCTAGCTGCGTTTCCACTAAGGGAAACTAACGAGTGGTACACCCCGTGCTTCCCTTAACCATCACTGAGCGTAGCCTCCGGGGCTGACGCCGACCGTCTTGCTTTATTTTCCACTGTCCTTTCTCTCTGTCGGTCTCTGTTTAGAGGAGGGAAGGGCTGCTCCCCCTCACACACACAGTCAGCTGTGTGTTTACTCACGGTGCTAATGACTGAGGTGTGATGACATGGACATTTAATCAATCACCAGAGACTGCTCTGTTCGAATCACATCCCCCTTCCCGTTCCTGGTACTTGATTTTAGTACTACTTTCTGAGGAGTGCTGAAGTTTAGCTCCCAGAATGCACCTCCAAAGTTGGTGCACCGTAGTGGAAACAAACTCAGAACCCGTGACAAGCGTTACTCACCATGATGGAAAAGCCCCCTTTGTTTGTTTCCTGCCTCCTGGAAACTGACTTTAATTCCATGCAAATTCTGTAAAGTCCGCTAAGAAACATTTTAAGACTTTTTAACACACTGACTTTTTACTCGTCTGTAAACTGGCTTTTATTGAATCTTCCTCAAGTTTTTTTTTATAAACCATTGGTTAAAATTCTCACTTCTGCTTCTACTGGGAATTCCTGCTTTTCCATATGCACCTACTCTGTCACTTCCTTTATCCCACACTGTCAAATCCCTCCCAGCTACACTGGCATCATCATTTCTGCCCAGTTATCTTGCTGCCCATGTTCCTTGAGCCAATCGGGCTTCAGTGAACATTCCTTAAATACCACTGGGTTTCTGTCATTCTCTGTCAGTTCCATGCTTGCACCACCCAAAAAGAAGTTCCATCTTCCATGAGCTGATTTTACTTCACAACCAACCGCTCTACTGACCTCCCCTGACTGACATCAGGGATAACAGCAGCAGATTATGTTTTACACTGAGGGTGATCTGGTGATTAGTTCAGTCTGCTACCTGCAGGCGTACAGCATGTTGGACATGAAGGTGACGGGGCTGACGCTGCGGGATGTGTCCATCACGTAGATCACCACACAGGGGAAGGACGACGCCTGAGACACACACAGGAGTAATATGAACTGACTAATATTATCAGTAAAGAGAAACAAACCAAAGTTCAGCGTGCAGACCCACCAGAGCCTCTGTGATGATGGTTCCAGACGCCGACCAGGTGAAGACTTCAATCTGACCCGGGGTGTCGATCAGCACATACCTGCAAAGGTCAAGAGTCATCAGGAGGAATAAATTCAGACAGAGAGCGATCTTTGTAGAGTGAGATGAGGCATTCAGCTGAGCAGACAGAGTTCACTTATGGTGCAGCCAGACTGGACACAGCAATGGTTTAATGTCTATGGGAGGGTGGCAAGGGCTGGTTGGGTGTTTTACTGGTCACAGTTCAAACCAGTGACCTGCTGGCAAAGTTCAAATGTACACTATTTAAACCACAACTTATGGGTCCATGTGGTCGGTAGTAGAAGATGTGGGCAGCTTCACAGTGTTCGGTCCAGCTCCAGTGTAACACCCTCAGCTGCTCAGAGACAACACGGGGACAAACAGAACCACACTGCCAACACAACAACCACACAGGGCATTTCTAAGCATGCGGGCTGATACTGACCGGTGATTCTGCTGCTTCTTCTCTATGAACTGCATCACCTGAAGAACAGCAACACGCACGTTTTTGGTCAGTCTGTCGTCAGTCACAGACACTTTGTGTTTAAAAACAAAACTATTTATGTAGAGAAGGACACACTAATTTTAGCATATATCTGTTTCCATCTAATCAAAGTGTCTCCATTAACAGTGTCAGAATAAGCAGTGATAAAGCTCCTTGTTGAGAGCTTCAGTTCACACCGGTCACACCTGTAAGCTAAATTAAAGCTTTGGGCAGTTAAATCCAAAACTGTGATTCCAGAGCCATTCGATTTATTTTAGCAGCCTATGGGTTTTAATAGTTCATTCAAAACGTAGTCCAGTTACCTGGTCAAAGCGCGTAGCAAACAGGTTGAGTGAAGTCACGATGCCTCCGTTTGGTCCGAGGCCGTACTGCTTCATCACCTCCTTGTAGTTCACGGTGTCCCTGATGTCTGGACGACAGGGCACAGACAGAGCGAAAGCTTCAGAAAGCAGGTGGGAAAAAACAACCAACTCTGTGCTGTACTCTATGTAAGCCTGTATCCAGGAAATAGACCGGTCCTCACCGATGTTTGCAGGGAAGGGGACTTCGTGGACAGCGGGGTCCAAGTTGATGACATATGGAGGAGCTTTCAGAGAGTGAAGGTGAGCCGTCAGCCTCTGGAGGAAACAAAAACACTGAGATTAAAACTGAAATCTATGAGAGAGACATGACATGGTGTTGCAGTAAATGGTTTTCTGTTTTGAGAAAAGTGAAGGCAAAACAACGTGACACAATTTTTACCAGTCTCATCATCATGGTTAGACTTTTGGTATTAAGTGATAACTGTCTATGGTTTTGCCAAAACTGTGTGCTGTCTGGAAGCTTCAGGCAAAATCCAGCTTCATGTCTATGGGGTACTAACATCAACAGCTGGACTGTTGTGGTGCTGTAGATCATAGGTACATACAGTATTAGGACAGGGGTGCACCAACAGTGGACTGAAAGATAAGGTCTGGGATATTCAAGAAATGTGTTAGTTCATCTTTCACCATCTTCTGAGTACTCAGCTCGAAGCCCATTGGTTCCTACTGAAGATATAAATCATGAAAAAACCCTCACAAATATATAGTTTCACTTATAAAAGCCCAGCACTTCCCAAAAGCAGCCCGTCACTGTAGTTTCTAACAACCAGTCAATATAAATTGTTTAGTCTATGCAAAGTAAAGCTAAAATGTCCATCACTTCACTTCACAGAGCCCAATGTAACATCTTCATACTATAAATCCTTTGTCTGATCAACTCCAACACATTCAGTCATATACAACAAACCAGGCAGAACATCCTGAGCTAAGTGTTTTTCTTTGCTTGAAAAATGACTCGTTTGGCTCTCTGTAGAAGATTTATTGACGATATGTAAACCATCAGCTACTAAACGGTGTGTTGGCATTTTGTAAAAGTGACTGTCTGTTTCCGCGTGAACGTGCATTTAAGTGTCCGAGCCCGCGGGCGCGTGCCAGGCTGGCAGCTGCTGGTCGCTACAGGACCAGAAACAGGTCGTCTCACTTACTGTGCTGCCTGCTGAATACGGTGTCCCAGCTGAATAAAGATAGTGCGAGCAAACTACAAACTGCGTAAGTGTTGTCAAATGCACGGCGACGTGTGTAAATGTTAAAGTAGCTTGTTGAGTGACTCTCCCCAATACATGAAACCTTAGTTAACGCTAAACGTACAAACGGTGTCGAGAAGCTGTAAGGCGGCTAACGGTGAAAATTGGCTAAAAATGGGACAGATTAGGGTGATGAATCCCGCCACGGTCTGTGATATCCACAAAGTAGGAACTTTGACTTTTTCAACTAGCCATGTGAACACTGACTTTCTCCGCTTGATACCTGCTAGCTTAGCTGTCGCAGCTAGCTGTCGCAAACATACCTGAACGAAGGTAGTTTTCCCGGACCCCGCCATCCCCAGCACGATCAGACACACGGGTTTGTCCCGGGCAGCAGCTCCCGATGTCCCGCTCTCTTTCCCCGCGGCGGAGCCCTCCTGGTCTGCCATTAAAACCTCAGCAGCAGGGCCAGGACACTGCATCGCATCTGCCATGTTGTTTGATGTTATGGTAAACGGCTTCCGTAAAGACACTGGTACTGTCGTACAATGTGACGCCCAAAGACTAGGACAAAGGTCTAGCATGGTAAAGTGTAGATCCCAAGACTCGGAAGTAAAAAGCTTTATTTATCAACTAGATAGAAGAATAGCAAGCTTTATTAATCAGATGGATAGCTGGCTTTATTAATTAGATAGGCAGATAGCTTTATTATTCAAATATATGGATTGATATTCTTGTCAAACAGAGATTGCTAGCTTTATTAATCAGGTGGATAGATGATATATTTATTATTCATGGAGATGGAAAAATAGACTAGACTTAACCAAAAGACCACAGAGTTGGGAGTGGCTCTGACATGTAATCCATCTTCATCCTGAACACAGGAGCCCCAGAGGTCTGAGTGGAGCCCTACTCTCTTCACGCTCTCCACACTGGTCTGCAGCCAAGTTCACCCACTAACATTACTGTTAAGTTTGGCGATGATACCACCAGCCTAGAGGTATGAGGAGCAACATCTGAATGAGTGTTTTCAGGACAACAACCTAATAACACTAAGAAAGAAGAGACTTGTGGTTTTCAGGAGAATAAATTGCACAACCTCCTCTCACCGCCTACATCAGCGGAGAAGAGGTGGAAGTAGTAATCTTATTAAGGGCCCAGCTACCTGTTTGGCCCGCTGCCTTCTGGAAGAAGGTACAGAACAATCTACACACTCACAAACAGACTCAGGAACAGCTTCTTTCCGAAAGCTGTGGAAATTACTTCTGCCACTATACATTACACTGCTTGGACTCAGACAGAGCTTTTTGCATATCGTGTACATCTATGTCATGCAGCAGAAATGAACACTGTCTACATGAGCACTGTTTTGAATTTTGATAAGTGCCAAGATGTTTTAGTTTTCTATTTATTTTCTTATTAAATTTTTTTAACATGTTCTTGTATTTCAGGGTTGCCAAACGGGTTTTGTTATACTATCTACAATGACAACTTGTCTTATCTTAGATAGATAGCTAGCTTTGACTGATAGATAGATAGATAGATGAGTGGAGGAATACACCAGCAGGAGCAGTTTGCTTACTCAGCAGCACCTGGTCTGTTGCTTTAAAGGAGGCTCTGGCAGGCGGGTGAAACCCTGGAAGTGAACCTTTCTCAGAATATTAGCCATAGCTCAGAGTCTTGCTTGGCGTCTAGCTCAGGAACAGGGTAACTGGCTTGTTTTAATGACGGGATTGCACCTGTGAACAGAACTCTTCCTTTTAGCATCTCATGGATCTAACCATGACTTCTTAGCTTCTGATGGCAGGAACCACTAGAGGTAGAGTGCTTGGTCAATTCATCCCTTTTTGCATATTTTTTTAGTTTCTTAATTCTGCAATTATTCTTCATGCCCATCTGAGCTCTGGTTTACAGGGAGCATCCAATCCATCCTTAACACTTTGCACAGCTGTTGTGTGTTACAGTCTTCTTCTTTTGGTGCATTTGTCTTTTTGTTTCTTACTAACTTTATTTTGAAGAGGCCAGAACTGCATATTTCTATTCAGGAAGTTCTTGTAAATGCATTTAATGTATGGTGAGGTGTCAGTGTTAGGCAGTGTGTGAGCATGTGCAGTTGATCCACATGCCAGATTTCAGATGTTGTGTTGTCACAGTGAAGTCACACCCAGAGTTGTATAAAAGTCAGAAGTACGAGCAGACTCAAAGCCAGCAGAAATGATTATTACAGAGACACAATGCCTGTCGTCATGGCAACAGGACTGTTTGATACACAACAGTGAACTCCCACAGCTGAGTGTCACCTGAAGTCACTGGGTCACGTCTCAGACCCTCATATCCCTCCACGGTGAACGGCTGGTGGTGGGTTTCCTGCACACTGAGCTCATCCCACCTGGGACTCATTACCAGGACTCTACACAAAGAGTCAGAGGGACTCTGACTCTTTGTGCTGCAGAGGGAAAGTCAGCTGACATCATCAGCCAGAGGTTTGCCCTGCAAAGGCAGTACCAGGAGGAGGTTTGTTGAGCAGCAGTCTGGTTCCAGATGACTGAATCTCTGATCACATCTCTATCTGTTCTGGTGACTTAGACAGCTCCGGTGGTGGGAAGCAACAGAGCTTAAAATAACCATACAGTAACAGTTTTTGTTATGCTACACAAGAGGGAGCTGTTGTCAGTTAAAATGCAAATGTATGCATAGTGTCTTATTAAAATACATCAAGGTAAAAAGAGAGAAAATATTCAGTGAGTGCTAATGTGTAGCATTTTAAATTTAAAACTTCACTTTGTAGTTTATGCCTCATCAGGGCCGGGTGTGATGAAATGATTGTGACTCGTTATTACTGATCCATGTGAAGAGGGGAAACTGTGCAGACGGTGCAGTTTCTTGACAGAAATGTCAGGACAGCTTTTTATCTGAAGCTCCCCGCCTCACTGTCCCACTGTAGTTCACCGGTAAGACAGAAAACAGGATTTGCACAAAAAGCTGAATCTTACAGTTACAGTCCTTCAGTTCTTGGTTATATCAAACCTCACCCTTCATACTATGGTCTTTCTGCATTCTGTAACTAAGCAGATTTCATAGTCAGTGGTGTGTCCATCTTTCAGGTTCCTTTACACACAGGAAATCCACGACAAACTGTTGGTAATTTAATCTAGATGATAAGATGAGCATTATGCTTGAACAGAGCTAGTGCTGAACTCCAGTTCAACGAACTGCATCTATGTCTCCCTCACTTGCAATGCAAGCACAAACCACGAGGACAGAGGAACCTAGGAAACATATTTTAACTAACGTGAAACGTCCTTTCCTCTGATCCTTCGTGTGTCACACAGACATTTTCCCAGGGTTAAAACAACACCGGGGACTGTGGTGGTGGTGGGGTGGTTTCACGTGAGACAGTGAAACAGGAAATCTAGCTGGAGGAACACATTTACTGAAACGCAGGCCAGTGGTTTGTAACAGTCACAGACAGGATAGTTATAACGGCAGCAGCTGACCTTGAGGTAAAGAGCACAAGTATAGTGTTCGCGTACAAAGTGAGCCACCAGGACCGCGAGCCTGCATGTACCTGACTGGCCAAGGTAGTGATCCAGGTAGAAGGATTGTGTGGATCCAGGTAGAAGGATTGTGTGAATCCAGCCTTCAACAGGACGCTGCTCTCATCCAGCAGCCTGATGTTCACCGCTGGAATGTACGCCATGTATGTTGGCATGCTGTGGTTTTTTTTTCATTTTGTTTACTTTTTATCTTTATGACATGTATTTGGGTTTTATTTTCAATGAATTTTATTGCAGAATATCATGTTCTTTATTTAAAGTGCTTGTGTTAAGAAAAATGCTTTATAGTTAAAGCTAAGTAGCAGTAAACAGTAACAGCTGGGATGATAGGAATGTCATTTGATTTTACTGGACACGTTATAAATCTGATCGGGTGCTCAGTGTGTGTCAGGTGTTGGTCTAATCACAACAGGTTGTGAGTAGTTTTTATCAAGTGATGTTCAGTTATTTGGGCATGGAGGTGACAGAGGATTACAGCTGATGTTCAGCATTTATCATCTCGGTCAGCCTCGCTCTCTGAGTTCCTCTTCTTTTGCTTCACTTCCTGTCTGTGTCTCTTTCTCTGTCAACAAGGACAAGCTGCTGCGAGCGTCAAAGCAGCCAGAGCCAAGCGGGGACAGTGACTGATGAGGTGGAGACACGATGACAGGGGAGTCACAGCTCCACCTGGCTTCAGTGACTCCTCCCATGAACAGGTCACACAAACTCCCAAAGCCTCTTCTATTTTAAACCGGCTACATGCACAAACGTCTGCAAGCTTTCTGGAACGGGCGCCCCGCTCTCCACAGTGCCGCCCTCCCTCCGCCTCAGCCCGGCGTCCTCTCCTCCACACGGCGCTCACGGCAGCGTCCTGACAGCCGCCCAGCAGCCGCGCCTCTTCCGCTGTTCAAACGCACCGCTCCGCCGGCTTCCAACTCATCTGGTCGCTACCACATTTGCTCTTTTAACAACCACGGACCGCTCAGGGGATTTTTGTTCGCTTTCTAAGTGCATGAATGGAGTCGTCGAGAGATCCGGGCAGGAGCGGCTCTGAGCCTGAAACCCCGCTGACGGAGACGCCGGCGAGCTTGGAGACTGTCCGGGGCGGAGAGCGCCTGACGCCGGCCAAGAGACACAGCAGCTCCGGCTCCAGCACCAGCAGAGGTAAGACCAGTGATTTGCTCTTCACATAGCAGTGGTGGTGGGTGTTTTGTGTCCGTCAGGCTGCAGGAGCAACTTCCGGCGTTGTGTGGAGCAGTTTGATCTCCGGCCGGGTGCGCACAGAAGCCACGGGCGGAAACTCAGACTCGGGCACAAAGAGAACTGACAGCCGCTGGAGTTGGAGGGATACAGCCCCTGAGCTGTTAATAAATCCACTTCGGGAATGTATAGAGTAACCAGCTTTAAAGGTGAAACGAACGATTTTAATCTCTGTAGTGTCTGTTGTTATGCGCAAATACTTCAGCGTACTTTAGGTTTTCCTGGTTGGGGCCTCTTTAGTTCCACTGAGGGGAAATCTTAATGCTCTAGCTTTGTGGCCAGTTTGTTTGTCTATTTGCTGTTTCAGCATGACTGTGTCACCGTGCACACATGCCAGCTTCATAAAGAAATGGGTTCCTACAACTTGACTGGTGTGCATGGAGCTGTGACCTCAACCTCATCAGCACCTTTGGGATGGCCTGGAACTTAGGATGAAATAATTAGTTGGTCATTAGTGGCTCAAAGGAAACTCCACTGGCAACTAAAACCTACCTGGTTGCAGCTTGTCAGATGTGAGGATTTGATGTTTTTATCATCTCACAGTGAAACTTAAAATTTTTGTGTTTTGAGTTGTTGGTGAGACAAGACATTTGAACACATCACCTTGGACTCTGGGAAAGTGTGTTCACATTTTTTTTTTTTTACATTTCACAAATTGAACTATTCTCCTTTCTTCCTCCTCTTCTATTAGGACAAGTGTAGATCTTATTTGTTTGTTTAGAAACGGTAATACACCTGCAGGCACACACTCGCACAATTAATTTCAGTGAGTAAAATCATACGGTCTCTGTGTGCAGCTCTTGGGCTGATGGCAGATTTTCCTGGAGTTCATTACTGGTATGTAGATGTTGGGTTGGGGGGGTGGGGGGGTCGGTCAGATAGAGCTTCCCTGAGTTTCTCATAGCAGAGTTGGTTACATAACAGCTGCTCAAGGAGAAGGGGAAAACTGAGTGAGTGTGGAAATTGAGAGGAGCTGATAGTGTGGCTGTGTTTTTGAGACGTTCGGTCAAAGCAGAGCCACGAGGAGCCGGGACACACAACTGGCAGTGGGTAACTGTGATGCTGAGGGGAACTTAAAAATGGATTTTGTCTATTTTCTGTCAACTGTGGACTCGGGGACATTGGCGAATATGATAATGTCCTCAGAAAGTGTACTGTAGGCCACACTGAGTCTAACAGTTTGTAGATCATGTCAGTGTGTTGCAGCAGATTCGTCTCCCACAGAACCTTTGTGTCGTGTCTCTCCCTATGCACCACTCAGCTTCTCAACCTCTGTTTTGTGGTCATTGAAGGACACTACTTCACCTAATATGGGGCGTCACGTGAACACATTATGAACTAAAGCTGTGTGGTTGTTGCATGTTGTCACTGGCCCCTGAGTAAACCAGGACCACACAGCTACATAACACTGCAGGACACAGTCGGTACTGGACTTCACTGGTGCAGTTTCCCAAACACCTTTACAAGAATTTGGATTACTCAGTGACACAAAGTGATCCTGGGGCCCTCTACAGTAAACCAGGGTGCTGTTGACCTCTGGAAGGTCAAAGGTCAGAATTTGAAACTGGTGTGAAGGGTTGGAGGTTAAAGTTCTGAATCATTCACAGTTTGTTTAAAAGATAAAGCAGCATATCAAACTGATGCAGTCAAAGTAGTCCCAGTCATTAAAGTTTGTCTGAAGCTTTTTATCACTCTGAGGTCGCGTCTGTCTGTGACAGAGGATCGTATGCGCTCTCATGCTTTGCTATTTTTGGGAGGTGTGTAACTTAACTCTATTTATTTGTAACACGATTAAAGAATAAGTCTGGTGATATGTAAACCCTGATCTCCCTCCTCCCTCTGGGCCACAGAGCTCCACTCTGTCCAGACACCAGTAAACCCACCAGTGACCACACTGCTGCACTGGCTGACATGTTCCTCCATCACCATGAACACACACACTTCATTTTATTTTGACTGGGTGCCAGCAGCTGGGTGCCTGAGCTGTGGCTCAGGAGGTAGAATGAGTCATTCCTAACCGCACTGTCAGCGGTTCGATCCCGGGTTTTCCAGTCCACACGTTGACGTGAGCGAGACACTGAACCCCAAGTTGCTCCTGGTGTAAAGTCCTTTGAGTGTGCATCAGTGGCAGGAGAGCTGTCTAAGACCATTTACCACACGCTGCTGCCACAGACTCACTGGAGACCAAATGTGGATTCATCCGCCGCTGAAAATAGTTGCTAGCACATGCACTGTTTCCTCCTGTTCTTGTAATAAAAACTACCATGAGCAGCTGTTTCAGAAAGTTGCTGAGTTTTTAAAAATGAAATCTATATTTGTGAGGTGTTTTTATAAATTTGTACCTCCAATAAGAAGCAATGGCTTTGGAGCTGAGAGCCACAGACAGGAAGTGAGTGTGTTGAGAGATGGTTGCAAAAGAGTCTAATGCTAACATGATCTCTCAGTTGTTCTTCAGACTGTATCAGTGTCGGCAGCATCTGATGTATTCCTGCATCTTGTTTATGCTCTTGTCCCCAGTCACAGCTCGGTTGTATGCAGCAGGTAACACAGAACCATAATAGAAAACAGCTAAGATTATTCAGTGATCGGTTTGGAAACTCAGGCTGGTGCACAGGAAACGTGCTCTTTGTAGTTAAGTGATGCTGCTGCAATAAAAACCTAAGGCCTTTCACAGTACACAAGCTTGTCAGGTTGAATGAATGGGAGGAAACATGCTGTCTTTAAGTGCTGGGTACAGGTAGAATATCTAATGTTACTGATAAGTTGAGTTAAGTGTTGTTGCTCCAAAGCTAGCAGGACAAATGTCGACATACTTTCTATTATTTCCAGTACTGTGTATGTTGTTTAGTTGGGGGGGTGCACACAGTGGCCCGGGGCCCTCGGCTCCAAACTAAATTTTGTTCTATGTGTCTGTTACAATGACAATAAAATACAGCTTCTTCTTCTTCATGTGTTTCCATCCCACAGAGTAGCAATCCAGGAAGCCAAATCATCTGTGATTTAAAAGAAATCACAATTCTGTAACTGATCAAAGTAAAACTGAGTTGGTACTTAACACAAAGGGAATAAGTGCTATAAACTGCTGTCATTCACACTGTGCCAGCTCGCTCATGTGCTCTCAGCTGGCAGTCACGCTATTTCTGATGGAACTGGAAGGCAGCAGGCGTGTTGTGTAAGAGGTGATGGCCAAAGCCCTCAGCTTGTCAGAGTGACCAGCTTTAAAAACAGACCTGTGCACTGCTTTAAGGCTGAGAGCATTAA